GGCGATCCGCTAAATTTTAGGGTACGCCCTAGAAGAAGGTAGAACCTTCACAGACAAAATGTTTTATAGGACTTATCTGATTATTTTTTTCCTAGGTGATTATGAAGTCACTTTGTTGTTGTGATAGAATTCATTACAAACTTTATACGTAGAAATATTAATTATGTTGCTTTTGATTAGGTGTAAAAGTTTAATATAAGACTTCTTTTGTTAATTGTTGTAGTTGTCTAAATTTCATCATTATACAATACAGGTATTTGAGATGGTTTATATTTATCTCGCAGTTGCAATTAAATTAAATATAGTTTGCATTTCTTTAGATACCACGTGACACTAGCATTCCGAATGCACATTTGGATGATAATAAAAAGATCAAGTTTTGCCTTGAATATGCAGACTAGAAAAGATCAGGGAAATGGGACCCCAATGCTTAGACTGAGGTGAATTGCATGCAACTTGTCGCTCACTTAAACTGTTTATTTGACAACACATGCAAATGGGATGGATACCATTAAAAATTCCAAGCAACTGTTTATTTGACAACACATTAGGTGATGTATGCAACACTAATGAGTCTGCAACAAATGTTGAAAATTGGAATTGGTTAGAACAACAATGCTAGATGCTTCTTCGTTGATGATACACAGTGGAATAACCTCTAGCTGGTAATTGCTGCTCTTATATTAGCTTATCATTACTAAGTCTATCAACAACTATGCATCTAGCACTTGCAATTCACTAATAATTTCTAAATCTTGAAATAAATGCCATGTCATATTGCTAAGAACTTTATGTATTTCTCTCAAAAAAATAAACGGTACACCCATTTCAAAAGTCGATAATGCATGAACAAATATGCAGTTCTCTCTAAGGTTTGGAATGCAAGATAGCCACAGAAAGTTGAGTCCAACCATCTTCAATGCCACATGTCCAAATTATCATGCAATCCCGTGCATCTAGCATAAGAGGTAGCTATTCAATACCAATGAGGATGTGTATATCCCCAACTCAATTGTTAATATTTTGAGAAGTTAGAAATGGGCAGGTAAGAGACTTGCAAGTAACCAAGAGGGCTTGCGTCAAACTAAGGATCAAGAGGCACCAAATCAAGCAATGAGTTCAGACAATAATTCCTTTGTCCAGTGTGCTCAGTCATGAACCACCTTAGTGACTGCCAAACTAAAAGTTGTAGAACATTGAAACTTGGATTTCGAGCGATATGATGTGACAATGGCAGTTGAGGTAATTGACATATTCAAAAATGTGGTCCCTGCCACGAAAACAATTATAGCACTTAAAAAATTGCAAAAAGACAAGTGGTGCAAGCCCTTCGTCTATGGATCTTGAACTTTAAGAGTACTGGTTAAATTTATTAGAGCTTACTAAACCAAACAATACTAGTAGTAATTTTGATAAGGATGGATAGGTTATTATGTTAGTGTTTCCAATTACAGTTGGGAGTGTACAAAATTTGCCATGTTGTTATGGTCTCTTTGTTTTGTGTAGAAAATATGTTGAACATTTTCTCACTCATTACTTTATTATTGTGATCATTTTTCGCTAGTGTCAAACATTATTTACTAAATTCTCAAAACTATAGTAGTGGGAGTCCAGGTCGAACCCATAGGGAACAGTGAAATTTTTATTTTTCTAATTTGAATCAATGAGATGTATTAGAAGGAATTAAAAGGAATGTATTAATAAAATTAAGAAAGCGATGTTAAAAGTAAATAACATAATCAATAAATGAAAACTAAGTCAAGAACTTGAAGGGTTTCATTTCGATTGATAATTAAGTCCTAAAGGTCCAACTCTTAATTAACCAATTGATCTAAGTTACCCTAAATGCTAGTAGTAACTCGCAGATTCTCTAAATTTAACAATTAGAATGATGCACTCTAGTCGTATCCTTAGTATCAAACTATTTAGGCATTGACGAAATTCCAAATTAATTTGATAATAGCTTTAGAAACTAAGAATCTGTCGAAATTGATGACAACCGATGACACGCCCAATCATCTAATCAATATCACAAAGCTCCCTAAGGGTTCATAAAAGGGGACAACCACGTATTAACCTTATTTGCTGCATGAAATACTAAAACATGACAATTACAGATCACACTTATTATTTTGACATGAATATAACACATAAAGAGAATAATTCATGTTACTCCACTACACATGCATAAACAAAAAATAAAAATCAAGGAATTGTGAATAGTTAATTAAAAGTTGGAAAGGTTAAATTGGTTTTCACAATATTTGGAATCACTGCTTTTATCGTTGGTTTGAATAAAAGAATTAACGAGACATCGTCATCGCAAGAACAAGAGAGATGTTCATAAGTGAATCAAGAAAACTAATTCTTATATTAAAGTACGCTTATTTTAGGAAACAAAGAATTGCAAAGAAAAGTTGTTGCTTCCTCTCTTGATTACTCCTCCTGACGGCTCTTACGTCACTTATTTATAGGACCTCCTCAAGTATGATTTTTAGGATGGTATTTAAATTAGAGGTCGTTTTGTCCAGAAAATATCAGGTCTTGAGTTAGGTTGCAGGACGGGTGCCTATCTTAGTTTAACGTGTTAATTTGATTGAAATCAATTGTAAATTCGAATAGGTCTTGTGTTTGGCCTCCATCCTATCACCCATCAGTTCTGACCACTCAAACTCAATATTTTTCTGTTAATTGATATCTTTTGTATCATTTTTATCACGAGTATTTTTTACCCTATCCAATCATATAAAATACAACTAAATAGCACTTTTAAAGATACAACATGCATAAAATCATAGTAATAGAGGAACATAAAAATATATCAAACGTGACATATTATATTGTTGTTAAATGTAAGACTCATTTACTGAACATTTTTTACTGTGTTAAGGTTTTACCTAAGATCAATAATTAAAAGATATCCCAACCCTAAGATACTTTATGAAAAAACATATATATATATATATATATATAATATTTTTCTTAATTCTTTTTCTTGAATACTTTGAATAATATTAGTTTTATTAGCAGAATATTCTTTTAATGTCTATGATCAATAAAAATGAAGTAATCAAAATACATGAACAAATTTGAAATAACTAAGATAAGTCAAAATCGATATTTAGCACATTCGAATTTAATCCTGAAACTTGACATGGAGAGAACTTATGATAGAGTGGAATGATTTTGTTATTATTTATGTTAAGGTATTTCAATTTTCAGGAATGGATGGTGGATCTTATTTTCAAATATTCTTTATTTTGATTAATGGAGAGCTAACAAGCTTTTTAAAATCTATTAGAGGTGTCAAGTAGGGTAACCCTTTATCACCAACTCTTTTTATATTAGTTTTGGAGTTTTTGGGAGGGAGATTACATAATCTTTTTTTGCAGGATGAGTGGAGATTCTTTGTTTCAACAGGAGGTAGAATTTCATATTTAGTTTCGTGTATGATATGATTATGTTCACACGATATTTAGAGAATTTTCTTAATATGTACCAAACATGTTCTGGATAAAAAAGTTAACGGAACAAAGAGTTCGTTTTTGTGCTCTTCAAGAGTGGCCAAGAATTTGTTGGCAAAGGTTGTGTGAGTCCTTGATTTTCAACATTAGAGATTATCTTTTACTTATTTGGGTATTTTATTTGCCAAGGAAAATCCAACGTGTGTATTATTTGATGGGATCATATCCATAGTGCGTAATAAATTATTTTATTGGAGTTCGAAATTGTTATCTATGGATGATAAACTGATTCTTATTAGTCATGTGTTTAATACTATTTTCCTTCATTTTTTAAAAAATTTTACAACCACCTTTAGTTATACTAATTTCGTTGGAAAAGATATTTACTTGTTTGTTATGGGATCACAATGAATCCACTGAATTCAAGTTGATTCATTGATTTTCTTAAACAAAAATATGCTTTCTGATGGAGAAGGATATATTGAGTTGTATATTGTTAGAAGATATGTGTAAAGTCTTTTCATGTAAATTTGGTGGAGACTTAGGGAGCAAAATTTCATCTGATTGGAGTTCATGTTCAAAAAATATATTAAGGACAACCATCCTAGTGTTGCAATTGTTGATCAATAGTTTGGTATGTGACGATGATTGGTACAGATTCATAATATAGTTGAAAGTAATGTTCGATGGTACTTAAAAGTTTGACAGGTTTTGGTATGATTGTTGGTGTTAGGATTGGCTTGTAATACAACAATTTGGGGTCTTGGACTCTCCTCGTTTGACTATTATAGATTTTTGTGAATGGTTGGGATATTAATAAGTTACAGTAATGGATTCTTTCAAATTTTTTATCTAATATATTGCAACTTCAATTGTATACTTCAATGACAGATTTGATGATTTGGTTACATTTCAGTATTGGTGCATTTTCCACTACTTCCACTTGGAATCATTTTTGTCAACGAAAAGTTCCTTTGAAGGAGGACAAGTTGATTTGGTGTTCTATTGTACCACTTAAGGTATCCATCTTTTGTTGGTGATTGGTATGAATTTTTTTCTTTTGAATGTTAATTTACACGCCAAGGGTTAGTTTTGTCATCTTCTTATTGTGAGGATCTCAAAATTTCATTAATTTTTGAAAATTAAAATCAAAATATTATTTAAATGTTGAAATTATTAAATAATATGTATTTATATTTAATAATGTGTATTTATATTATTAATGATGTTTTCACTTATAAAAATATTATATTTTAATTTACATGAATTTTAAAAAAAAAAAATTTATTTGACGGTTCGCGTTCGACTAAGCATTAGGGTAAATTTTTGCGCACTGACGCGCGATGTAGCCCTAAGTTGAAATGTAGGATATGTAGAGGTTATAAAAATGTACAACTAAGCTGAGGATGTGTTAAATGGGGAATTCCTACCAGTAGATAAAATTCTCGCGCATAAACGCGATTCAATTCAAAATTTTCACACCATTATTAGCATGCCCAAAAGTCAATTAGACTACTCCCTAGACTACCCCAATTTTCCTCCCATCTTGTCACCAGCTACCACCCTTTTCTTACCCCTCTAAACTTCCGCTCCTCTGCTGCAAGAAGAAGTAGAAACCGCTGCCTTCCAAGCTCCAACAGCCTCTCATCTTCAGCCACTCACACCCAGTCTTCAAGCTTCCATTTTCAGCTTCCACCTCCACTTCTTGCTGCTGTCCAGATCGAGCAAGAGGAAGGAGAGGATCGCTGTTGCTGCTGCTACTCTCGCTGCTCCTGCCGCTACTACTACTGCTGGGTTGTTCGGACCAAGGTGAAGGAGAAAAACCAGCTTCCTATTTCTTCCTTCCACCAACCACAGAACCATCTCAAGCTCACCAAACAGAACCCCAGCCCTCTTCATCTTCAGTCGCTGCTGTGCTGCTGCGGTGACTGGCCAGACCGAGAGGGAAACAGAGAGCAAGAGAGCCGGCTGATCCTCTGTGGTTCTAGGAGCAACTTGAGGAACTAGACAATATATTTAGCTAGTAAACAACCCACTTGAAGGTAACAAACTCCAGCTTAGCACCTTAGCCAAAAAATTTCAGATTTTGCAGCTTGTGGTTCTTGAAATGTTAACTTGCGTTGGTAAAACTTGTTGGGTTGCTGAACCTCTAAGCTAATGATTGATGAAGCTAGAGGTGTTTTATGTGTTTATATGTGTGTTTTGTGATGATGGTTTTATTGTTGAATTAGTGCTTAAGGAAGTAGATTAAAGGTGCATTATTGCTAGAAACTTCATTGAGCTCTTGAAGCAAAAAGTTCCGATTCTGTCCCTGCCAAGACCGACCTTTTTCATGCGAAATTCTGAGGTTTTAACGGCTTGTATTTGATGTTTATGTGTTTTTGGATTTGTGTGTAAAGTTTCATTGAAAGATATTGAGGTTTGGTTGACCAAAGGTGATGAATTCCAAAACCAGCAAAATCTGGAAATTTTTCCCGTATGGCTCAGGCAGCCATTTTGTTTCGATCATAACTCTGCCCTCCGATGTCGAAATTGAGTGCCGTTAGCGCCATTAGAAACTAGACTCTTCCAGCTTTCCAACGGTGTAAAATTCACGTCCTGGTTCCACCTGAGTGAACCATGGCAGTCTTTTAAAGTCACCTGTCCTGCTCCACTGGTTCACTGGAAGCCAGGATATGAGCTGCGCTTTGTTGCCAGATTTCGAGCTAGTGATGAGTAGAATTTTAAAACGATTTCTTCTGAAAAATTGTATCCCTATGAGTGTAGTTTCCAACGCTACTAACCATGCTCAAATCTAAGTTGAATTGAATGAGATGTGACCAAAAAATGAAAACTGCTCTGCTGTTGAACCAAACTGTCCAAATTTTCCCAGTTTGTGTTCGAGTTTTTGATCTGATTCTTGACAAGAAATTGAGCTTCATGGATTGTGTAAATGTTAAGCTGAATGTCTATGGTCATTTGAACGAAAATGCACCACTTTCGTAGTTGAAATGATGTTGAGGAATTGAAGGAAAAGGAAGGTATATGCTGTACAAAGATTCTGGAAATTTTTCAGATTTTAGTTGAATTTTAGGGGTCAATTTTGACAAATTTTTGAACTACTTGGGCTGTATACATGTTAACCTATATGGGTAGTATTGTTTGGGTGAAAATGTAGCTTTTGGGTAGTTGAAAAATTTTGGATAAATTGAAGGGGAAATGGACTACTTGCTACCGCATGCACCTGAAATTTTTCCAGCTTTGAATGATAATTGTGAACTGTTTTCACGATAACTTGAGCTCAAATGATTTGTGTATTAATTAAGGGGTTTGTATAGCTCAATTTGGGACAAAAATCTAGTAGAGGTTACGTCCAAAAAGTGGACCAAAATCTTATTCTTCAAGAAGATACCAAAACAGAATTTTTGTTTGAAATTAGAAATGGTTTGATGTTTGGATTTCATTGTGGGTAAATGTGGACCAAAGTTGTCCCGAAAATGTTTTCTAACATTAACCGTTGTTACTAGGTCCATTTTGAGTTGATAACCTTGAATTTTATTAGACCAAATGTCCTATTTTGAGGAATTTGTCAAATCTGGAAATTTTCCTAAAAACTCAAGTTTTTGCCTTCATGAAAAACATTGGAGTGAGTTGGTCGTGGAATTTGGCAAACTTAAGGAGTTTCTATTTTATAGAAATTCTAACGATTAGTTTTACTTGGTTTATATGATTGCCTCTTAAAGGAATTTCCCAAGATATGTTTGGGAAAAATTTGAGGGGAAAATTCCTCTAAATTGTTTAAATGTGATTTTTCTCAACTTGTGACACCAAATTGGTGTTAAATGGCTTATATGATTCTAGAATTTGGATGTTGGAATATTTGACGAATTTAGCAAGTGTTTGGGTTTTAAAGAAACCTCAAAATTTAATTTCACTCGATTTGTGGATTTCACTTTGAGAAAACGATTAATACTAGTTTGGGATTTTGAGTGAAATTAAATGCTAGTTGACTCGAGTTAAATTCGCCAACTCAAAAGTGGAAATTTATGTGAATTATTTGTATGATTCTAGGAGTTGGTGAAGAGCACAATCTCGATCAAAGATTGGAATTCTAGACACTTCACTTGAGGTGAGTGTCTCTTGCATGAATCGTGTTTAACTGCTAGTTGAACTACTTGTTAAAAGTACTTGCTAGAGATATCATGAAATGTTACATGCTATGAGATTGCGTGAAATATCACAAGTACAAGTGTTGCAATGTCGATTGGAGCGTGGTCTCGTCGACTAAATAAACCAAACGGATGCATGTACCACGCTCTATTGGAGTGGGAGGTACCTCTCTGCCGTCTTGGTAAAAGTGCTTGCAAAATTCGTGTTGGAGTCGGGCCCGAAAATAAGGGGGAAGACGTTGCTAGGAGATGTGTAGATTAGGGAAAATGTCTACATGGAGTTTAGGTAGTGAAAGTTGACGGAGTGTCAACTACTATAAATTTTCTGATCAAGTGCGTGGACTTTGGCTCCTGAGAGCCCCGTATCCTTTTCTTGTCATGTTATTTCGCTTTCTTAAATTGTTAAATGCTTACTTGTCTATTTGTACTTGTTAAATTGCCTTATGTGAATTGCATGTTTCGAGGCACCACTGAGCTATTGGCTCATCCCTTCCAAATTGTTTTTCTTGACAGGTTCTGAAACGCATGAAGTCTTGGAGAACTAGAACAGAAATGTTATATTTTGAATGCCCACTTTTGTAATTGTATTTTTGGAAACGTTAGTATCTTTTGGATGATTTTTGTGTTTTTGGGAAAATGTGAATCTTGTGGTGCTTCTGTGCCCTGGATTAGGAACTTTAAATTGTAAATTAAGTTGAATTTAAGTATACTAAGCTCGACGTTTTCGTTGATACTTGGAATTGTGTTTTGGGCTGTATAAGTTGAATTGTATGAATTATTTAAGTACGTGACTTGCTCGAGAAGTAAGGTTTGTTTTCGATTTATATTTGGTGAAATTAGTTACTAGAGTGTGTGAGTCCTAGCGAGAGCTAGGCAGGCGACCCGCCAACCCTATGGTTCGCCTTAGGGAGAAGTGGGGCTGCCACACTTATAATTGTTATCATACTAGTGTGAAGATTATTAGACATGTATTTTTCCTAGAATTAGTGACTAATGATGTTTGGTATCATTTCTTTCAAATTTTTAGGTTGGAACCTCTTTTTGGAGTATCTATTTCATCCATATTTATATATTGATCACATTCTTTAAGTAGGCGTATTCATGCACACATTCAATGTGTTTTACCTTTTTAAATTTGTTGGTTCTTATGGAAGGGTAGAAATAAAGTTCGATTTGAAGGTAGACTTTTTTGTCTTCGAAACATTGTTAGCGAAGTGAATTTCTTTGTCTTGAAGTTGGGACTTGTTGGAAAGTTTAAGTTGGAGCATTTTTAGGATGACCAAAACATCTTACAGGCGTGATTCTTATCAGTTACGTCACATAAGATTAAAGTTTTCCCTATTTGGTGCAAGTTTCTATTGGTTGATTATGTGAAACTGTATACAAATGCTAGCGTTAGGAATGGCTTGAAATCAAGGGGAGCGATTTTGAGGTCAGTTGATAGGAATCTTGTCTTTTCATTTTATAAGGTGTTTAGTGAAGTTGACGTTCTTACTACAAAGGCCCTTTCTTTGTTGGTTGGTTGGTCTACAAGTTTGCGTGGATAGACAGTTAAAGGATATTCAGACAGAGGTGGACTTTGAGGTATTGATTACTTTGATTAAAACTGATTCTTTAATTAAGTGGCCATTGTGCAATATATTGCAAAAAATTAGGTTTTTCCTTTCTTTTTTAACCACAAATTTGGTTCAGATTTAGATTTGGGTTCAAATATCACTTTCACTTCAGTTGCAGATCTTCTATCAATAGTTCGTGCCTTTGTTAATTTTGAAATTAGATTTTGTCCCTATTTACGTAAGCAGATTGTAAGGGAGTAATACTTTTTATTTAATTTTTGTTTGTTATTTGAGATCAGGTTTGGTCCTCCTCAAATTATTGTAATTTAATTTTTTTGTATTAATAAAATAAAGGGTTGGCATCTCTTCCCCGTACATGGGATTTGTCACTAAAAAAAATTTATAAAAGCAATAATTCTATAATGTGAAATTCTTAGTAGATAACCAAGGTTGAAAATTAACTCCGACAAGTTTTAGTTCAAGAGGTTAGTAAAGTAATTTTACATGATTTAATATGTTAATATTGTGGAGTTATGTGATAATTATATGAGGTTAACCAACTAGAAGGACTTAAGAGTGCAACATGATAGGTTTTTTGGAACAGTTGGACTTTGATTGGCTACTTGTCACCATTCTAACATTTCTTGATCAAGACCATCTTGTGATTATGCTTAACTTTTAAAAACACATTTTCCTCTTCTTCTTCAACCTTTATGGCCAAAATTAGGACAAGAAAAGAGAAGAAAAACAAACCAACTTCAAACTCTTGAATCCTTCTTAGTTTTGTAGGAAATTCACAACCCATCCATAAGAAGTGATATTTTAGTGATTCTCAAACTTATGCCTCAATAGAGTTCAAGACTGAGAGTGCTCACGAATAGTACTAAATTGTTTTCTTTTGGAGGTTTTAAATTCTATTATAGCAAATGACTGTTGTACATATTTTTTTAGATTGTATTTAAATTTGAAAGTTAACTAATTTTAAATATTAATGTTTTGGAACACTTTAAATGTATATTGAAAATATTTGAAGTATTTCTAAATTTTGAATTATAGATTGTAGTGAGCCTAGGCGAGAACTATGCAGGCAGTTCACTGACCCCTCTGGTTCGCCTTTGGGGAAAGAAGGGTTGACATAGGTGATATCATAGTTTAGGCTTTATATCTCTGTAATGTATTCTAAACTTAAAAATTAGGATACGGGATGTGGGACTCGTTAGACTGTTAAGTGACACGATGCCTAATAATAGTTGATTTAAACTAATAATCTTACTTGTGATTGTAGGAATGGAAAGAAATTGTGTACAAGAGCTGCCTAGGAGGCGAATTCAACCTCTTATGTTTCAGATAGGGCCGGATGAGCCATTTCAGCAGTTCATCCCAAGACATAGGATGGATCGCTGATGTGATTGTTGGATAACACATTCGTATCCTGACCATGTGGTTCTAGCCATAGCAAAGGAGAGACAGAGGATAATCATTGCAAATGTAAGTGCAAATCACCGAATTCGGGTGCTTGAGACTAAGGTGCTCGAGGAAAACAAAAAATGAACCTATATTTTACGTGAACAGTTACAGGAAACCAATAATCGTTTGGTTAGGATGACACAACAATTAACAGAGAGAGATAGAGAAGTCGTGGCCCATAGGATCATAGTATTGGGAATGAAGTTGACCGTGTTAAGGAACGGGAATCATCTAGTTCCAATTAATCTAGTGAAACACTACTTTTAATCTTTTGTAATGGGACGATGGGAGTAGAACTTAGGAGTTTGTTCCTTGGAGATGCATGTACTTTTGTTAATCACCTGTTTACTTTTGTTTACTGATCTTGACTTGATATGTACTTTATTTGATTGTAACTTGTGTTATGATCTAATGAGCTCTAGTTTGTATTTGACTTGTATGATGATAATGTTATTTGTGCAAGTGATTTCATTTTTCTGTAGAGTTATTACTGGTATGTGTGTGTGGTTCAATTATGGTTTAGTATGGGATTTATGCATGTGTGTATAGATTAGTTGTGAACATGAAAATTAGAGGTCAACGACAGGGACGTCAACACAGATAACCCCGAAATCAAAGAATAGATAATGAGTCTGCTACTGATCAAAACGTCGAGCCAAAAGTTGGGGGAGGAGATGATCAAGTGGCATTAGTTTTAACTCGCATGACAGATGTACTAGAGTGGTTAGTTGCTCAACAGGGCCAGGGGGTTGGACAAGAAAATCACGAGATAGGAGAGGATTGAGTTTTGGAGCGGTTTCAGAAATTCTTTCCTCCCAAATTTTCTGGAGGACCTGACCCAAAAGTGGTTGAAAATTGGTTAGAAAATATAAGAAATATATTCGATTCCTTGAACTACACAGAAGAATGATAAGTTGCTTTTGCTGTATTTCAACTTGAAAGAGCAACTTCAGTCTGGTGGAATATTATAAGAAACAAGTGGGAAAGAGATCAAACTCCAAGAACTTGGATAAATTTTGTACGAGAGTTTAATGAGAAATTTCTTCCTCCACTAGTCCAAGAAAAGAGAAAAGACAATTTTATAAAGATTCGTCAAGGAATTTCGAATGTGGCTGAGTATAAAACACAATTCACGAAATTATCTAAATATGCTTCAGAATTGGTGGCTACGGAGCGAAAGATAATAAAACAGTTTATCCAAAAATTAAATTTAGAAATTCAAGATGCCCTTGTCGCATCACAGATTGAAACATTTAGTAATACTCTTGAGAAAGCACAGAGGGTGGAGAGTACAAAATCCCAACTGAGAACCTTTCAAGTGAGGAAAAGAGATGTATCCGATAGTAATCACTATCTTGAAGTACCAAGAGAAATTGGATCGCTACCTAAAGTTAGAAAACGAGTAGATGGAGTAAAACTACCGCTTCCTTCACCACCCATGATAAGGAAACCAAAAGGAACTATGTCATGAGAAACTCCAGTATGACAGATACAATCAACGAAAACTTTGCAGGCAAGTCAAGTTACAACTTCTCGTCTAACCTATGGATATTGTGGAAGAACAAATTATACCAAAGAAAGCTGTTGGGTGAAGGGGCGAAAGTGTATGAGATGTGGGAGCACCAACCATGAAGTTCACGACTGCCCAAAGAGATATCCACGAGAAACTACTACTCAACAAGGAAATAAAGCTATCCCTCGACAAGTCAATGAAGGAGGAAATTGACCAATGGCACCTGTAAAAACATATGCAATGATCACACAACAAGATCCAAAGGTATCTGAGGTTATGGAAGGTACGAATTTCGAGAACAAAATTCTTTTAAAGAGAAGAGAATGTGAGAACCCTAATATTTATTCATGCATAAATTACCAATTATTTTATTTAAGTGCATATAATTTGTTTTAATGCATTGGAGTCATGATTTTTTTTCATTAGTAGACTTAAAATCGTTTAGTTAGATAAACTCCAAAAGTTTTAGTTTATGAGGTTAGTAAAGTACTTTTGTATGGTTTAATATGTTAATATTGTGGAGTTGGATGATAATTATATAAGGTCAACCAACTAGAAGGACTTAAGAGTGCAACACGATAGGTTTTTGGAACAATTGGACTTTGATTGGCCACTTGTCACCATTCTAATATTTCTTGACCAAGACCATCTTGTGATTATCCTTAACTTTCAAAAACACATTTTCTCTTCTTCTTCAATCTTCATGGCCGAAATTAGGACAAGAAAAGAGAAGAAAAACAAAAAAACTTCGAGCTCTTGAATCCTTCTTAGCTTTGTAGGAAATTCACGATCCATCCATAAGAAGTGATATTTTGGTAATGCTCAAGCTTGTGGTGGAAAGAATTAGAAGGAAAAGCTCTTGTTCTTGCACAATCCTTCTAGGGTTTTGAGGTAACTTTGGTCAAGAAACCCTCTTTCTTTTATCTTGCTATTAGGAGGATTTAAGGCATGTTTATGCAACTCACTTGGAGTACTATATATTTGTTTTGCTTGATTATGAAAATTTCAGCTTTCTAGTGTTAATTTGCAAGACTTGACTTGAGAGTTATGGCCATGATTAATCTTGATATGTTGTGCTTAAGCTGTGGTATGAAGTTGATAATGGTTATTGAGGCTTTAGTAGGTGATTTCTTGTTGTTTTGCATGAAATTGTGTAATGTGACCAAAGCTGGTATGAAATAGGGTAGCTAGAGCAGTGTTGGGAAATCTGTTGTATCTTAGTGTAGGAAAGTCAAAATTGAGTTCTGTTTAATGCATTCGAAACTAG